TTACTTAAACTTTAATAGTCACTTCGATTCGTACTGGTTCTTACCCCGAGTCCATCGATAGATTGGCTCATCGTGTTCTACACTTGATCAAGACTCTTCGTTGACATCTTGATGAAATATCAAAGATTACACATATTAGCCAAGACTATGAACTTATTGAATAAGCAATTGTACGACATGTACAATTTAGAACATCTAAGGGCATCACAATTGGACTTCAGGTTGGATCAGCCAATTCGCTTGTGGTGCGCACAGATTATCTTCTCCTTTTGATCAACGATGCACTCCTGACTTAAGGGGCAAACACAAGGGTGGCACGGGGTCACGTAACCCCCCAAACTTTGGTGCCAATTTTTATTTTTTTACAATCATTAAATTTTATATGTTTCGTCTTAATTTTCGAAATTATTATGTGATGTCAAAATAAGTAGAAATATTGTATTTTGAACACCATTTCAAAGTATTCATAAGTTTTCTATGTCATTAATGACGCACGAAATAGACAACTTTAACAAATGTTACGACTTATCAAAGTAGGCCGTTCCACACTAGTATTTTGAGAATTTTGATAACACGTCAATTTTAAAAAAAAATTGGATGATCATATGCTAACTGAATCCACAAATCACCTATGTTATCTCGAAAACTCATTTTGAGAACTACATTATAGGCATATGAATGATCAAAACAGATATCGAAAATAATTAAAAGTGTGTCAACCGTGCGTTGACATTTAACTCATGTTTTCTTTAAAAAATTTCAATTATTTCATTAACATTTGTTATTTCTGCGATACAAATTTCTCAATATAATTTACATCATTTTATTAGAAAATTTTACATAAGATATGATATCAAAAAATTTCGAAATTTTTAATCCGAAAAAGTCATTCTCCATACAAATTTTTGGATGTAAAATTTCATGGGATATGATTTTTTTTTATGTAAATTTTTGAATGTAAAATTCTTCACAATTTGTTTTCAAATTTGATTATGCCCACTAACTCTAAATGTCTGCTTCTGCCCTTGTTGACTTTAATTGGACAACCCGTGCCTTTTACATTGTTAGTTACGATTACAATTGCAAGCACCTAATATGATGTTACACACAACATCTCACAGGGGCACAAACATGCACATGGCAATATTCAATATCACCATATTGGCAAGGGGCGTAAAAATACTCTCAGAAGTTTATAGTGTAGGAACACTGACATTCACAGCTTCATTTCCATAGACGTCACACCAAAGACANTTTTGTCTTAATTTTCGAAATTATTATGTGATGCCAAAATAAGTAGAAATATTGTATTCTGAATACCGTTTCAAAGTATTCATAAGTTTTCTATATCGTTAATGACGCGCGAAATAGACAACTATAACAAATGTTAGACTTGTCAAAGTAGGCCGTTCCACACTAATATTTTGAGAATTTCGATAACATGTCAATTTAAAAAAAAAAATTGGACGATTATATGCTAACCGAATCCACAAATCACCTATGTTATCTCGAAAACTCATTTCGAGAACTACATTATAGGCATATCGAATGATCAAAACAGATATCGAAAATAGTTAAAAATGTGTCAAACGTGCGTTGACATTTAACTCATGTTTTCTTTAAAAAATTTCAATTATTTTATTAACATTTATTATTTCTGCGATACAAATTTCTCAATATAATTTACATTATTTTATTAGAAAATTTCACATAAGATATGATATCAAAAAATTTCGAAATTTTTAATCCGAAAAAGTCATTCTCCATACAAATTTTCGAATGTAAAATTTCATGGGATATGATTTTTTTGTGTAAATTTTTTTATGTAAAATTCTTCACAGTTTGTTTTTAAATTTGATTATGCCCACTAACTCTAAATGTCTGCTTTTGCCCTTGTTGACTTTAATTGGAAAACCCGTGCCTTTTACATTGTTAGTTACGATTACAATTGCAAGCACCTAATATGATGTTACACACAACATCTCACAGGGGCACAACATGCACATGGCAATATTCAATATCACCATATTGGCAAGGGGCGTAAAAATACTCTCAGAAGTTTATAGTGTAGGAACACTGACATTCACAGCTTCATTTCCATAGACGTCACACCAAAGACATAGACTGAAACGTTTCATTTAAAAGTTTAAACTATTAAAGAAAATATATATGTATTCTATTTTTTTTTTTAATTTTTTTTTGGTCAAAGACTTGACACATGTTTGTCCCGATTTAACATTTTGGGGAGGAATATTTTGTATTTTGGGTAATTAATGTGAATATTTTTAACGAGATTTTGGTCTAAGAAAAATGCTTGGGATTTTTTAAGAGAATTGCGTATGGAGTGAGATTTGTGCAATCCATGCAGTTAGCTGTATTTAGGGAGTGTTTGATGATGACTAAAAATTAGATTTTTAGTATATTGTAACACAAGTTTTTTAAATGTCTGGTTGAAAAGTTGTGAGACCCATAAAACATATGATTAATATTAATTGTTTAATTTTGATTTAGATTAAAATTTGATTTTAATTCGAAACAAATATGGCCTTAATAAATTTCGAAAATTACAATTATTATTATTATTATTATTTGGTTAAGAGTCTTGAAGTTGCTAGTAGTAGTGTTTTTTGTTTATAGTAAAGTACATGGGAAATTTTTTCATGAAATTGTCCGAAATGAATAAACGGATATATATAGTAATTACATTTAAAATCTTGCAAATTATCTTAACATTAATTAAGAAGATTTAAGATCACCCTCACGGTGTACGGAAACACCTCTGAGAGAAAAAAATTACATACGGTTTACAAATCTAAACCAGAAAAATATTCATGGGTTCTTGGGTTGGGGTCACTAGAAAAAAAAAATACGAACACCCAAATGGGCTAAAGAGTGGGGGGAAAAAAAAAATTAAATCGAACCGACCATTATAATGAAGAAAGATGTTAAAAAAGACAAAAAACAATGCAGTTTCATCTTGTTCATCTCTCTCCAAATACATTCATGTCCATCCTTAATTTCATCGAAGCATTGATGTTAGAGATCGAAAAACAAACTCTTCGCAAGGAATAGTGAGTCCCATATCATGATCAAATCCAAATTCTTCTTCGGCTCGACGAAGAAGGCACTGAAATTCAGGGTGAGACAAGAATGATATGGGAACTATGTATCTACTTCTGTTTTCACCTACATAAACTGCAAAATGACCTTTTGGTACGTCGTAAGGAAGCCCATCTTCATCATCATAGCCTTGTTTCTTGCCTAAGCTTGAACATCTTTTGAGAATTTGCTTCAAAACTGCTTTTTGTGGCAGTTTGTTTGAAGCTTTTTTGATTGCCATTTGGATAAAAATATGTTTCTTAGACGAGGAAGTTTGAATGAGAAGAGAGGTAGAAAATGGTGGTGAAGAGGATAGAGGTTTGTGAAGGTATTTATGAAGAAGTTTTGTGGGTAGGGTTGGGTAGGGGTATTAAAGGATAGCCCATGGGTTTTTTAGGCTTTCAAAGAGAGTTATGCAAGGACAATGTAGGGCCTAAACCCATGGGGTCTATTGTTGTCTGTTGGTTCTCTTAATCTTGAATTCCTTAAATAATATGATTTTCAATGTTAACTTCATGGGATGTTTTGTGTTATGCTAATAATGTTTTAATGGATCGAACTCGAACTCTAGGTGGCTAGATCGACTCGGTGGGGTTGCTCTGGTGCAGAGGGCCCTCAAAAGTGAAGCTAAGTGCTTGTTTGAGATAAATGCGATCGCAATTTTTATTAACCTTTCAAAAACACGTTTCAACGAAATTTATCAAAATATTTTTCTTTTATCGAAAGCTTTGTCAAACAACTCAATTCACATTTTGTTTGAACAATGAAGCAGAAAATTAACTCTCTTTATGTTTTTACAAAATCCGTCTCTTTAAATAGCGGGGTAAGATATTAGCCTCAGCCTTGGCTTTCACTTATGCAAGTCTATTTCAGGTTTCAACATCAGACTTTGTACGGTACTTGTTTCTATTTCCAACATTCTGTCTCCACTGTAAACTTTTGCATTTTTCAACAACTTTAATTCCTTTTTTTTTTTGATACCCTGATATCCCAGTTTAACCAAACTATATCCTGGACCTCTGACCACCGACCCCTCAGTGACACCAGGAGGTTAATCGCGGGTTATGCCCTTATTGGCTCCCAGGTTCCGACATTGTTTTTACTCCTGGCCCCAAGAGAGTTTTCATCACTGTCTTCCACAAAGTGTGCCTTTCAGGAATTGAACTCTCCACGTTGGGGTTGCGAGCCTACAAATGCAATTATTCCACCAACTCGGATGTGCCCCGGGGGGCTTACAACAACTTTAATTCTTGTTCCATATCTATTTGAGTGGTGCCACTATTTTACAAAACTTTAAAATCAAATTTCACAAGATAATATTTGCTCGGCTTCAAAATCGACGTCCACAAGAATGCATTTCCTAAAGACTTTACAGAACTATTTTTATTTACTGAAAGTAATATTATCTTATTTGCAGAAGGGTCCTTCGAGAAAGGATCTAAGGCTCGTGTGTCAAGGTTTCTACTTTTCGTGAAAGAAATTTTTGAAGATTTCACGTTGAACCATCTAATTAACAAAATAAATCCCGAACGAGTTCAAAATCAATTTTTTAGTTTTAAAAAACAGTTTTGACTTTTTAAAATTCATACCAAACGAGCCCCATGTTATGATATCACATTTATAACTCTTTGGACAGAATTCACCAATGAAATTGATTTTCAGGAAAATGTCCACAGTATATTTATAAATCCACCATGGCCTTACCTAGACGTTAAGTATGATTTACATTTTTTTTTTCAATATATATATATNTTTTTTTTTTTTTATACCCAAGTATCCCAGTTTAACCAAATTATATCGTGGACCTCTAGCCACCGACCCCTCAGTGACACGAGGAGGTTAATCGCGGGTTATGCCCTTATTGGCTCCCAGGTTCCGACATTGTTTTTACTCCTGACCCCAAGAGAGTTTTCATCACTGCCTTCCACAAAGTGTACCTTTCAGGAATTGAACTCTCCACGTTGGGATTGTGAGCCTACAAATGCAATTATTCCACCAACTCAGATGCGCCCCGGGGTGCTTACAACAACTTTAATTCTTGTTCCATATCTATTTGAGTGGTGCCACTATTTTACAAAACTTTAAAATCAAATTTCACAAGATAATATTTGCTCGGCTTCAAAATCGACGTCCACAATAATGCATTTCCTAAAGACTTTACAGAACTATTTTTATTTACTGAAAGTAATATTCTCTTATTTGCAGAAGGGTCCTTCGAGAAAGGATCTAAGGCTCGTGTGTCAAGGTTTCTACTTTTCGTGAAAGAAATTTTTAATGATTTCATGTTGAACCATCTCATTAACAAAATAAATCCCGAACGAGTTCAAAATCAATTTTTTAGTTTTAAAGAACGGTTTTTGACTTTTTAAAATTCATACCAAACGAGCCCCATGTTATGATATCACATTTATAACTCTTTGGACAGAATTCACCAATGAAATTGATTTTCAGGAAAATGTCCACAATATATTTATAAATCCACCATAGCCTTACGGCCCTTACCTAGACGTTAAGTATGATTTACCTTTTTTTTTTCAATATATATATAT